GGTTTTCGCAAACGCTGAGGTCGGCTAGCTACGACGGAGGCTCTAACAAGCGTCTCCTACTCTTCGCTAAGCCTTTTTGGAGTTTTTTTGGACGAGCTTTTACTGACGCCCAAGATTTGTGTCTGAACGGTGTGTCTGAAATTATCTCGGCATACTCAGTCAGGAAGAAAGCAAACATAAATATTACGGCCATTACTAACCGTCAAATGCGCTTTGAATAATTTCGTTCCTTTGGCACACCGCATAGAGGTTCACGCCCGTCCGACTCGCTTCCGGCGAACGGTGCGACATTCTTCACACAATTGCTCGACTTTTGCTTTCTTAAAACGGTTTGTGTGGGGGAATGTGCCTATATGATTGCAGAAAAAAATTATGTGCATACGCGATGTTGAATATTAGCGGAATGCAAGCGGGTGGGGACTTAGCTTCGTGCAGTGCTGCGGGTCAGTACAGATAAGAGATAAGATGCGTGTTCAAATTGAGCTTTTCAATGGCGCCTCCAAGTTTTAGCTCACGTACTCAGGCGTATTAAGAAAAACAGTAGTTGCAAAAAATATTATTTCGTCTGTGGACGCATAAAACAAACAAACTTCCTGACCAGCTGTAAAGGTGCGAGCTCGATGTATGCAAACTTATTGGTCGTTACAGCTTGTTGACTCGTACACAAGCAAAATACCCGAGCTACGCAGCGTCGAGATTCCCAGCACTGGCTCGTTCACATATATTTCGAAACGCAAACAGAAAGTCTCGATAGAGTATAAAAATACAACAAGCATGTGTGAAGGCAAGCTATACGTCTCGGGCTTGTGCTATAGACTCGAGGTCTGGCCATTTAGGTTAGTTTAGAGACCAAAAATGATGCTCTCGAGACCAAAAACCGTGAGATCACGGCCGTTAATAGCCCACGCTGCCGATCGAAACCGAAACCATGCCACTCTCCTCCCTGCCAACTAGTTCCCAAAGAGCAACGCGCGCCGTGTTGCACGCAGGGGTTTATGGAAGTAGTGACCCTTTCTGGTTGAATATAGGGTGCACGTGATGTTTCGATTACGATCATGCAGAATGATGTAAAAAACGAATGTGCCGCCCAAACTGTGTCTTCCTCGGACAGACCGCTCGGACCCGGAGTAGTTCTCCGCGCAGCCTTTTTCGGGGGAGTACGATCTGTAGTCACTCGCAACATTTCAGTTTCGTTATCAACGTTGCCGCGGGGAAATGAAGGAGTTTCGCTGTTTTTTTGTTTCGATTGCTGGGTGGGCTCTCTTGCTGTGCTTGCTTTCGCTCCTCTTGTCATGACCGACTGGCCCGAGCATACTGCGGCGCTGACATCGTCTAATAAAACGCAGTAGCAGCGAAATCAGCGACAGCGACGAAGATACCAGCTTAGCTCCAGCTCGAGTGACGACGAGGCAGCCGTTCTCGGCGAAGTCTTTGCCGACTCATTCGCCTTGCCAGCGAAGAGGCCCAAGATATGGCGTTACGTCGAAGACGTTGTGCACACCTATTCGGATGAAGAGCTAGGTATGTCGTTTGCTAGAAGACAATACGACAAATTCCCCTCAGATGGAACTCGCCTGCGGAGATGACGGTCGCTTTACGGCATGCGTGTTTGGTATTGCTTAACAGCCCCTTTGCAAAACGTACAGCGCCACGACGGCAGGACATTTTATCAAAGCATGAAGTTCCGATCAGAACTTCATGCTTTCAGCAAAATAGCAATGGGAACCGAAACTGTTAAAAAGCGAGGGCAGACGCTATGAAAGCGGTGGCAGCGCGTGCAACTGGGTGGATCGCTTACTGAGGCCGACCGCTGAACGACCGCTTGCGCGGAGCGCTCGGCATCTGCCTGGGCAAAGGGCTGGATCGCGCATCCCCGCTTGGTCGCTGCAGCTGCAGCACGAGAGTGAAGCCACCGATCGGCGATTTTGCATGTTGAAAAATCGCGTTTTTGGAGCGCTTCGGAGGCTGGCGGCAACATGCTGAAGACACGTTTTCTACTCGTTCGTAGTCAATCGTCGAAGAAGCTCTTTAAAACCCTGTGTAAACCCTGAGACTTGCCGTTGAGAACATGTGGAAATTTTTACGGAAGCGCAGTGCCGCAGTAAAAATGCCCAACTCATCGAAAGCAAGTTTCGCCGCCACGATGCAACGCGCAGGTCACGAGCGACCCGCGCGTTGCATCATTGGACTTTTTCCATAACGCAACGTGCGGGACCCTTGTGACGTCACATGTGACGTCAATTGTGATGTCATTATAGGAAACGTCCCATAATGCAATGCGCGGGTCACGAATGAGACTGCACATTGCATTATACGACGTTTCCCATAACTCAACGCGTGGTTACGCCGACGGCGACGTTGGCGTCGCCGACCCGCGCGTTGCATCATGAGACGCTTCCCATAATGCAATGCGCGGGTCACAAATGAGACGGCGCGTTGCATTATGGGACGTTTCCCATTACGCAACGCGCGGTTACGCCGACGGCGATGTTGGCGTCGCCGTCGCCGACCGCGCGTTGCATCATGGGACGCTTCCCATATTGCAACGCGCACACGCCGTCATTATGGGAAAGGCCCCATAATGCAATGCGCGGGTCACGAGTGAGACCCGCGCGTTGCATTATGGGACGCTTCCCATAATGCAACGCGCGGTTACGCCGACGGCGACTGCGACGGCGATGCCGCTCAAGCCGGAAACGGGCGTCTAAGAGCTGCTCTCTAAAAAATTAATAGATGTAAACCAAATTGAATTTTCATTCCACAGCCATGTTTGATCCCGTCTTTTTTAACAAAACTGAAATAAGCCTTTGTTAACTGGTTTAAGGATGACGCAGCGTTAATACTAGGCCAAGGATAATATTAGGTGTCACCTTTTAGCATATTGAAGACATGTCCAACCTAACGGTCATTTGTAACCATCACATAGTTTCTATATCAGCGAAAAAGCCATGTCGGTTACATATCAAAACTTGCATGACTCGAATGGCCTGTGAAAGCAGCGAGAAAACGATGTCGGTCAGTCACCGAAAACTCCGTGGCTGAACTGGCCGGTGATTACAGAAAGAAAACGATGTCGGCCAGTCAGCGGAGACTCCTCGGCTAGACTGGCCGCTGACTACAGCAAGAAAACGATGTCGGCCAGTCATCGGAAACTCTATGGCTAGAGTGGCCAGTGACTACAGCAAGGAAACGATATCGGCCAGTCACCGGAAACTCCATGGCTAGGCTGGCCGGTGACTACAGCAAGAAAACGATGTCGGCCAGTCACCGGAAACTCCATGGCTAGACTGGCCAGCGACTACAGCAAGAAAACGATATCGGCCAGTCACCGGAAACTCCACGGCTAGACTGGCCGGTGACTACAGCAAGAAAACGATGTCGGCCGGTATCGGGAACTTTCCGGCTGGCGCTGGCCAGTTTAGACAACGAGTCCCCGATATCGGCCGGGATCGGTTTCTTACAGGCGTCCCTGGCCGGGATCCGCCGTACAGCTCCCGGTACTGGCCGACGTAATCCCAGTATCGGCCGACATGATGTGCTACCTGGGTATTAATCGATTAATTGATCTACAAAAGGGTGGTGATTAATCGGCTCAACATGTTAAGACACACCGAGCCCTAATAACAACATCTGGCTAAATTCATACTGATTTTTGTTTTGAAGGCTATTAGATTCTGTTTATCTAAAAAAACGTTAAAGAATATGAAGTGTTCAAGTATATTCCATGGAAAATTGGTGCTCGATATGGGACAATAATTATGAGGTACATTTCGATACATGGCTTACACGGCTGATATTCCATTCAAAAGCTACGCTAAACAGACGCAAGTGATTCTCTAAAGATGTTGGTTAAAAAGTGTTTCTTTTTTTTTTAAGATTTCGGAGTTCATGAGGTCATCACAGGAACATGGGGAAAGTTTTTGATTTTTGATATATTACACAACACCAGTGTCGTCAATTGTATATTTCTTCCCTGCGGGGAGACTAAGAATGAAAAGCTTCTAAGCAATTTTAAAATTTTGTTAGTAAGCACGGAGCAAAAGTGTTCACTTAGGCAAGAGCGCACTCCTTATCAGATAAATCCCGCCCCTCATTATCAGTGAATATCAGAGATGACATTACAAAAATAATTCGGCTATTACACTTCATTATCTTTCATCTTTAAAGGCTCAGTTAAATTTGTTGTTGTACTAATTTTGCTGAGCGGGTTCGTGACATTTTAGACTAGTTTATTAAACAACCTAACAAACCTTTTTGATGTTGAGGAGTAGTAATATTCTTTAGGACTAATAATAATAATATTATTGTGGCGAGAAATGTATTTGACGCGCAACCCATGCTACTTATGTTGAGAGCAACGACACTCACGGACAATATAACTTTGAAGTTTGAACCTTCCTCTCTCTAATAATCTGCGTAATATATATTTCTTGTTTACAGTTTTTTTTAAATAAAAACAGGGATGGAAAAATGTAACCAGAAGCCGGATTTCATCATGATGAGAAAAACTACACCGATTTGACTTAAAAATAATAACAGTTTAGTCATACGTTTCGTCTCTAATACAGGAGATATTATTCGTGTTGCCCAGGTGGCAAAAATGAGAGAACACGGCAACCATAACACTATTTGTTTTAGTTTTATTATATATTTGTTATTTCGTTAGTTTGAGGTCAAATCGTCGAATTTTGCTTTATCTTAAGAATATAAAGTGTATACCTCTTTTTATAGCCCTGTTTGTTATCCATAAACGTTTCTGACAGCAGCCACAATGCTCTGGATGCAAATAAATAAACGAAGAAAATAATATATCGTCAAGCGGACCAAAGACACGGCGCCGGCCCGAGCACCATTCGGCCGCCGTTGCAGCATGCGGCTGTCGGCCGACCGGCGCCGGGCGACCGAACAGCAGGATAGCTCTCCGTCCGAGCGCTCCGCGTGCGTCTTAGTTCGTCGCGCGGCCTACGTGCGGCGCTTGCATCGCGTGCGGTTTTCCAGCCAGCAGCCGAAGCCACGCGCAGAGTCAATGGTTGGCGGGAGCCGTGCGTGGACGTGCTTGTGTTACCTAGTGGATGGATTCCAGGATGTTCCTTGCCCTCCTGGTCGTCACACTGCTCACGAAAGGTAGGCCGCTGCTCGTCGACGCTTTGCTTCGTCGTCGTTGTGCCGTCCCGCCGACAACCATCCGGTCGGGGGAGCCGCGTGGGGGGCCCTCCCGTTCGAATATCCCCGCGTGGTCCGTTCGGAACCTCACGCGTCTCGGAGGTTCAGATTCAAAAGTAGCGCGCGCCTGTCCGCGTTCGTGTACATGTATACTGATAGGGTCACGTGATGCCGAGGCGTTCATTTCTTTTCTTTTTTTTTTTTCGCGAGTACTGAGACTACGAAAAAAAATAGTTTCGGAATGCTAAACTAATAACGCGGTTAAAGTCGCCATCGAGGAACGTAAACAAGCATGAGCACATCTAAGTAAATGTAGTTTGCATTGTTCAAAAAGTGGGAGAACTTTCGAACAACCCTGTTCACAGACGTGCACAGATTTGTTGACAAATTTACGCTGTCCGACAACAACAAACAAACGTGCTTGTTGCCAATTTGAAGCTTCCGATTATGCATACCTGGTTCGCCATTCAAATTTCTCTCATATCCATGATCACTGTTGTGTCTATTTTTGCGAGTGATATTCAAACTTTTTGCGTCTAGGGCAGTGGTTTTAAACTCATAGGAATGTGGGTGCCAGATAGCCCACACCGGAAATGCCGAGGGGCAAAGTCAGACGGGGGGGGGGGGGGGGGGGGGGGGGCAGGGAGGGGGGGGGTAAAACAGATTTTGATGGGTTGCTAGCTCGTGCTCTATGTTTTTTTGTAAACTCACGGTTTTGACGCGAGTGACATCTTTAGATTCTATTCGTTTATATCACTACTTTGGGCCGTCACCTTATGAGATAACAAGAATGAAAATGACAACGCCCCGCCAACGTGCAAGCATTTTCAATGGAACGAGAGTGAAAGCACACTGTCGTTCCCGTTGCTCAGTTTCCTCAAGAAGTGTCCAAGATCAACGTGTCTCTAAAAAAACATTCAGTTATTTTGGTAGTTTTTGCTTTTTTGACGATTTTTTTTTTTTGCAACACGCTGAAGAAACAAATAATTGTCTTTTGATGGTGATATTTTTTTGAAGGCGAATATCTCCAGCTTGTAGCTTCATCTTTGGCAGTTGACCCTGCTGATCGACAGTTAGCGCAGCCGAGACGCATTCTTCAACGAACAACTCGCGCTTTCAGTCTAGTAGCGGAATCGTTTTACATTAAAAAAAGCTGGGATGCAAAAAAAAAAAAAAAAATAGCGAAAGCAATGGCAAATGAACAGAGATAAGTATAAACTATGTGAATACGTTAAAAGAGCAGAGTTACTTTTTGAGCGAAAATGAATCGACGAGATGAGATAACTATGGCGCATGTCATTTCTTGCGCTCGAGACATGGGAACCGGGACTCGTCACCCGTTGACTACGGGCTGCGTCTCAGTGAGTCGTGGGCCTCACGTGGCCCGCGGACCGCGTGTTTGAGACCCCTTGTCAAGGGAATGCTGAAATCTCCACCTAAACAGGCGTAGATGGAACAGTTTGGTAGACAACTAAAGGCATGCCCCAACCATGACTGCAATATAAGCTATTAAAATATTTACTTCAATTGCAACTTTAGGAAATAGATATTTATAACTGCTCCTGTAGCATACAGTGTTTTTTTTGTTTTTTTTCTTACTTCCAGAAGGTAGTTTATCGCTTTCCAAAGTAAATATAATTCGCGCATAAAATATGGTTTCCTCGCTTTGAGCATTGCTTTTTCTTGAGTACAGTTGATAGACAATAAAAATCTACAATATATATTCATAATGCTTTATTCGAGAGTCCAAGTGAGCTCCATCTTTATTTGAGGAACTTAACGCGCCAAATCTAACACGTCGAGATGGCTCCTATGAAGGACCAATGTATTTGCAAATATCCGAGGCTTTGTACTGTAGGATGACGAGCTCGAATGTACTGTTTGTTTTGCATAACCGCACTAAGCCGATGAAGATACTTGGGTATGTTGCAGAACAACTTACTTGAGCTTCGTTCAGACCAAACCCTGAATGGTGGTTACGATACAGTAGCAGGCTTACGAGTTTGGATTATAACAATCGTTTCCGCTTCTCATAATCTTTGCTTCTATCATAATGACACTCTTCTAATATATATGTTATCAGGTTCATCACTGGAGTCCCTTGATGGGAGACAGTACACTGCAACGCATGTTAACTACTTCAAGCACTCGATTACTCACTTAATAAATTAATTAATGTATGCCTTATTTTACATAGAACACTGATGTGGACTGCAGTAAGAATATTAGCATCAATTTATTGCGCTAATCAATTTTACGTACTTAAATAATAAAAATATATCAGTCTACATTTTGAGGCACACTATACCCTATATCAAAATATAATAAATCCAGTACTTAAATTTTATCTTCAATATAATAGTGGGCGAACGCACAAATAAGTGGGATCAGGGAAACACATCTAGGTGATTCGACTGCCAGCGTAGTGCTGCCCCTGCGCGTCGAGTTCGGTCTCAGGTTCAAACTACCCAATTTCTGTTTGAAATGTAAAACAACTCAGCTTCAGACTAATTGAGGCACTTATATTCGCACAAGAGCTCCGAAGGGGATGGAAGCAATTACCATACATGCAGAGGTCGAGAGCGACGCCGGTTCTTCTGAACCATGTAAGGAACTTGAGCATTCGAGGGATAGCTTTGAAGCTCTAATAGAATGCAGTCGGCACCAAAAGAAGGTACACGCAAATTTTTGTGCAAGGAAATGCGACTTTTTTTTTTAATGTACTGCGTAACAATAACCTAATGTTTTCAAGCGAGCACCTAGTTTTCTTTTTTTTAAATATTTGCCTACTACATTGGCGTGTTCGGTTCCCCCGCACTCTAAAAACTGCCTACGCCTTTCATTATTCTAAAAACATTCAAATAGTCAATCTCTGCGATCTACGAAATCAGCTCGACAAATGCTGAGGCGGAACATCCTTAGAACTGAAAATGATGCCTGCGCTGTTGCATGAAGCAGTGCAAAGCGTCATGGTTGCATTGGGTAATGCCGCCGCGCAGATTAATTTTGAGGTCTAAACGAATGTTCCGCCTCAGCATTCTTTGAGCTGATTTCGTAGATCGAAGATATAGGCTCTTCGAGTGTTTTGCGGGTAAGTAAACGCACAGGCATTTTTAAGAGAGTACGTCAAGTAGCAATCTTTGTAATAATAGTAATATTATAATCTTTATTTCTGTTGGGCGTCGAAAAACAGCACACGCTCTAAATAGTCATATTAAATGGGTTAAAACAGCGCAAAAAGACGAATGATCAGTAAAAGGAAACACGCAGACACCGCGCTGACTTACAACTGAATTTTTACTTCTGTGCCATTCAGCAAGTAAACTTGAGACGAGATAAGCATACAACCAATCGACCCGATAACACGCACTCTTCCCATCGAGCTGGCACGTGGCTACACTTATTTACCCGCCTTTCTGATTACATTTATCTCATCACTGACCAGGGAAAGCGACGGAACACTTATGCACATGCAGGCGTCATGGTTGGCAATAAAAAAAAAAGCTTCGTCGATTTCCCGAGCATACTTAGTTTTATGTCGGGCTAAAATTCGTTAATTTCGTTAAGCATTGGAGAGCATGCACATCAGTCAAAGAGAACCGGTAACTTGCCAGACGGGGAGGAGCGTAAGGAGAGAAATTTTTGCCTCGCCCGGTCATTTACACGTCTTCCCATCTGCCCGATGTACACTTTTCCACAGGACAACGGAATAAGGTACACCACCCCACATGCGCAGGCGATAAACCGGTTGCGGTGCTTAACCTGACATTGTGCACCCGCGCGGCCACCTCGATTCACGGCTGCACACAGCCACCCCAACTTAGCTGGAGCCGAAAACACAACTGGCACGTTGTACCTACTTGCAACCTTCTTGACACCGTGGGACACCTTGTGCATATACGGCAAGACCGCAGTTCTTACCGGTGGATTTTGTCTTGCCTCAGTACTATCAGGTCTTCTAAACATCTCTAAATAGTGGTACACCGCTCGTCATCAAGAATAAATGCAGGAAACAAAGCAAGGCTCCGGACTATTACAAGAAAAACTACATTTTTTTCCGGTGCTACGGGATGCGCATTGAGATGCTTGTTCCGTGTCGGGTGAGAAGTCGTGTGCGCACACAATCTTATTCCGTTTTTTTTTTTTTCTTTTTCTCTTCGAATTAATTTTTGTAGACTTCCTCCGAACACCTCACCATTTGTAACAATCTAACAAATTTGCACCGCAACGCGTGTTAACATACACTGCAAAAAAAAAAAAAAAAAAGTGCGATTTTCGTTTGCAGTATACAGACAGTTAGTCACAGCGACCAATCGAGGATCCCAGCTTATGGCAAGGCTCAGAATACGATAAAAGAAAAAAAAAAAAAAGTAATGTGCGCAGGAATTCAAGGAGCATGACCATTCACTTGATTCTTGTCTCTGCGCACGTGGGATCCATATTTTTTTAGAGTACAAAGTCTCCGGCAACGTTGGAGTGCACAGACTCAGGTGGCTGTGCAGAATTCGATTTAATTAGGCCATCATTTGTTGGGGTGTGCTAATGGAACGAAGTCTCGTTCTGTCATTTATTTATTTATTTATAATACCTCGAAGGTCCATTTCCGGACTTTACAAAAGGGAGGAATTTGGTCAAATTACCGTATAGTCAACACCTAAAAGAACAAAAAAAAAAAAAACGAACAGTACCAACAGAACCACTTTAACAAAATTATGTATTATACGAATTGTAGGGTCCAAGCACATATAACACTTCATTATGTGGGCAAGAACATCACTGTAAACGAAAACTAAATAGTACTTAAAAAATCTAAAAGAGCTGCTCGGTATTCTGTAGCGTCGGAAAGTGCGGTTATGTGATCAGGAAGAGGATTCCAATGCATGATTGCGCGTGGTAGTGAGAAATTATAAGCGCATTTTTGGTATGACCAAAAATGCGCTTATAACTTCGGATGTTAGTTA